ATATATATATATATATATAAATCAAAAAATATGATACATATAAATATATTAGCTTTTTTTATGAAGGGTCGAATCTTTATAAGACAGTATTTTATAAAAATCCTAGTCTTTGTAAAGACTTTATATAGAGCCTGCAATATATATATATATATATATATACGTATATGATCTAACTAAAACAATATCCATATTATACTTACTCTAAGTTTTCTTAAAAGCCTATTTTGTTGTCTTTTTCTGATGCTGGGATTAGTTTCGAAACTGTGAGGTCGTTTCCGCTTTTTGGCTGATACAATGGCAGCAGCTGCGGCGACGCCGACTGGTCCTAAAGATTTTTTAATGCGGGAGAAACGTTTCGATTGTTACAGTTCTATGCCTCTCAATATGTCAATATAATCAAAAAGAAAAAAAAAATGTTTTTCAAAGATATCTTTCCATTACTAATATAAAAAGAAAAAAATATATTTATATAAAATGAAAAAGTTTATTTCAACAAATTACATTGACATATTAAAAGTATAAATGTATCTCTAACACAATTGAACAAAAATGCGTGAGCAACAATGAAATAAAACGTGCTTGAAAAATCATACAGAAATTGTGATTTTAAAAATAATTGCAACATAAAAATAATTGTCATTAAGAGAGAAAAGTTTTGGAGATCTGTCTTAGCAAATAACAAAGAAAAAATGAAGTATCAAGGAAAAATGGAATATTGTAGATGTATAAAAAAAATCTTATATAGGATATTTAACATTGAGTCTACAGAAAAAGAAAATATACAGAATAAAAAAGAATACAGAAAAATATAGAATTACATTCACAGTTGAAACTTGAGATGGAAACACAATATGATGAATATAATTTGTCTAGATTGCCTCATTTTTTGAATTGAACTTAAACTATTTCCAATCTCATAATACATAATTAACACTTACAAAACTTTGGATGTATAAATTCGCATTAATCGCTTTTACAGTATCAGAAAAATATGACATTAAAATATGATTTTTCTATAGTATAGTTAATTTTTGAATTGAACTTAAACTATTTCCAATCTCATAATACATAATTAACATTTACAAAACTTTGATGTATAAACTCGCATTAATCGCTTTTACAGTATCAGAAAAATATGGATATAATATATTAAAATATGATTTTTCTATAGTATAGTTAATCAATCTGCTTCATTTTGAAATGAGAAAGAAGAAGTGAAGATGATATTTTGATCTTGAAAATTTTTAAACTTCCATTATAAGACCACAAGTTTGTTTCAACCAGTGACTATGAATATAATCCATAATCAGTGTTGATAATGTAAAGCAAGAGTGTAATGTACAGATACAGCACACAAAATAAATAATATTAGTAGAATTACAAAACATAGCATTGAGACAATATACATGCTTTACAAGCACATAATTTTTACTAGAAAGTTTTGTAACTATCAAAATTTCGCTTTGAAAAAAATAATATTCAGATACAAGTCTTATATGCATAAATTTATAGAAGCGATTACATTTATTTAACATCTGATAAGTCTGATATGCTTAAGAGATTGTAATATTATGTTAAGTTACAAAAGAGATCCATAAGAGAGAGAAAGAATTTATCTTGAAAAAGAATAATATAAAAAGATTTTATACAAATATATGTATTATTATGTATGTATTATTATGAGATAATAAGTTCGATATTTTAATATATAAAGGCATATATTATAATATATAAAGGCATTGTTTTTCCTTCTTCTATAGAGGCTATGTTTAATTGTACATAACAAAAGCTTCAACCCTTCTTACTTGAAGTTCACTGATCTTGATATGGAATATTATCCATAATGCTAAACAATGCCTCGAGGACATCCTGCTAATTGTGCTTGATTCGTAAATAAAAGTGATTAGGAATAGATCGATCACTGATCAAAATCAAAAACTGAAAAAGCAAAAAATGAGAAATCACCATCAATGTTTTTTTGCCAACCTGCTGCAGCGAGCTGGGCTGTGACGTCATCGCCCATAGCAGCCGAAAGAAGATCTCCTTCCTCATAAGTCTCTGATCCGCTACTAGGCTCATCATCGTCGTCGTCCGAGATTCTGTCCATTGTGCCAGTTTCTGCGCTAGGCAGAGATACCATCTTCTTCTCCTCGTCACCCGTTTTGGTATCTCGTGTATTGAAATCACTCGTGATAGAGGAAGTCGTCGCGTCGTCTCGATTTGGCAGTTTCAATTTCCTTTACATCACCTTAGCCTGATATGTAACAGAACATCGTTCTTTGTTAAAAATTCTTACATAGTGGTCGTTGAAATACAGCAAAATTTTATTTATTAGAAGATTAGAGGTATTATTTACAAATATTATTCCGTGCAAGAGATGTACGCGCGTTCCACGTTACGGGAAAACGTCGCGTGTTTGGAGCGTCGGCGAGCAAAATAAAAGCACGTGTATTCAGTTTCGGAGAAAAATACGAAAAAGTATAACTCTTTTGGGCATATATAAATATAAATATAAATATAAATATATACATATACATTATATACATATATATATACATATACATATATATACATATATACACATATATATGTATATATACATTTCGTACAACTGACGAGAGAACATCTGCTCGTGTCTGCCGTGAGCGATGGGACACCACTCGCGCGGAAGACTTTCGCCGCGATGCATCCTCCTGACGACGCGACTCCTAGGTAGCGCGTGTGCACCCCGTATGCGGCTCTCACAAATACCATCAGCACGTTTGATGCTACACAAAACATTGTTGATCGGCGACAATTGCAGCAACGACGACTGCAACGGTGGCGGTGGCGGCGGCGGTCGCAACGGCAGTGTGGCGGCTGCCGCGTCTCTCCTCCTCCTCCTCCTCCTCTTCCTCCTCCACCACCTCCTCGTGACATCTCGCACGCAAAGTTGACAGACGGACAGGCGACAACAAGACAACGCGCGATAAAGAACGCGCGCGTATAAGGGGCGGCGAGAAAGAGAAAAAGAGATAGAGTGTGAGAGAGAGAGAGAGAGAGAAAGAGAAAGAGAGAGTGAAGAACGCAACGGGACAACGAGGCGGAGAGGGAGACGCGGGGATATGCGCGTTTATTCGGACCGATACTTTGGGGGGGCAATGAAAATGCGCAGGGCACACGCAAAAGAGACCACCACCTCCGGGTAGCCGCGGAGCTGCTCACGACGGCTGCTCGGTAACGCGGTAACACGATGGAGCAGGCCCAGTGAAAATCGCGAGTTGCGTACGCACCTTGGTGTGTCCCGCGGAGTGGATGGATGGATGGAGATCAGGGAGGGCTCTCTCACACGTCAGGGAGAGAGCTCTCGTCGCGGGGAGGCAGCGTGCCTCGGCTACGCTCTCGCACCACGCCCCGCGCTCGCGCTTATCATCACCGTGGCCGGTCACCACACACCACACACGCCGACGCGTCTACCTCAGGATGCGTGATGACAACGCGCGACAACGTTAGCCGCCATGGCCGGTATTCGGCGGCGGGCGTATCGATCGGTACCGAGCGGGCCTCCATCACCACCACCACAACACGAACGGCGGCCACGGACCGGCCATCTTGGGCGAGCCTGCGCGATGCAGGCCCGCCCGAGCAGACGATGCGAAATTGCCCGGATTTCGGGGACGCCGCAGACGCCGCGCACGGCCCACGCCGACCGTTGGATTCTCGGCCGCCAAATTTGCGCGGCTACCGCGCCAGCACTCACCGTTTCCCCGTTGAAGATCCGCTAAACGCCAGCAGCGATCCGGGAGAACGCCAACGCCATATACATATATACAAGACTGAAGTAGCACGATTGGCGGGAATCGCTGGGGCACGCGTCATGGCGGACGGCGTACGGTCGCCGCCATTGGTCGGCGGGACACGTGACGCACGACTCGACGTAATGTCGGATAACATAACCTGCCTGCGCCCTGGCTCTGGCTGTGTATGTGATAGTGTGATCGCCCGAGAGAGAAACCAAACCATCGCTCGCCATCTCCGATATTTCATGACAATCCAATGATCGTAATTATTATCCAAGGTGCGAGACATTTATTCACGTTTTGCAGGCGTCTCAAATCAACGTGCGCGTCGCAATCATCCTTGTCATCATATTTGCCATTGTCGTATCAAACGCAAAGTTGACGAAGCTGTCGATTTCAATCCCTTTCCAAATTTTTTTCAGAAAAATTTATCGCCCATTTTATTTTATAAGCATGGGAAATTATTTAATTAATTTCCCACTATTTTTTTCTTTTTTAATTTCGTGTTTTTGCACTGTACAAAAAAAAAATTGCGGTTTACGAGTGATGAAATTAAGATAAAAAAATTGACCTTAGATCTTAGTCTAATTGGTATGCAAAAGATTGTGTTTTGAAATGAGATTTATGTTACTGTCAGTATGATTCATATAAATGCAAAAATTATCAGGGTCACTTCAACATTAATTCATTTTTTTTCTAGAATTTATAATAAAAAGCCATTTTTATTTTCATCTATATATCCTAAGACGTACACAGAGAAAAACAGCGTAGCTGCCAAGAAAAAAAAAGTCCATCACAGATACTATTACAATGCTGAACTATTTCATAATCATACTTTCTGACATGCTTCAGAAATACATTTTGTCCTTTTTTTTTTTTTTTTTTTTTTTTTTACAATTATTACACATCTACAATACACACAAAGTATATAACTAAACATATAATAATGTTATATAAAATATATATAGCATAAAGCAGCTTTACATATCACATCTCTGGAACAAAGTAAATCAGAAATTATAAATTTTACATGCATTAGTGACCAATTGAAATTTCTTGGGATCTAAATCTCGTGAGGCTTCTCTTTTGTGCATACATTTGTATCTCATCATTGTTTTAAATGAACAAGATTCTATAAATCACTCTTTGAATCATTTTAATATCATGAGATTCTTTCTCTATCGACGCATAGGTGATTGATTCTTCATATATATGTAATTAAGAATACATAAATTATAAACATAATTTATCATAAGTCTGGAAATTTAGAATGAGACATTATTTTGAAAGTATTTAGTTAATATAAAAAATAGCAAAGTATTTTATCGGTTTCTAAGCCCATGGTTTGTTCTTGTTACATAACTTTCCAAACCAACCAGGCTCACAGAGACATGTGTTGTCCGGTTGACAGGTTCCATTTCTACATCCTCTCGTACACGTCGATCGTTGCGCCGAACGTCTGCCAATTTCGCAATGGTTACCTTTAGAACCCTTTGGACATCTACAAATATTATTGCCCTTGCATCTGCCTCCGTTCAAACAAGGGATGACACATTTGGCTGAAAAGACAAAGAAATATGTGAACAACGTTTTTTTCATCCATTAAATTTTACGCATAGCAATAGTAAAGATTTCTTAAAGTGTACACCACTTATACTCACAGAACTCGCAGCGTAAACCAAAATAACCTTTCGTACATTCGCAGACATCCTTTTGCACGCACTTTCCTCCATTCAAGCATTTCTCCCTGCAGATACCTGAAATTTTAATCAATGTAGTCAGTTTTAATAACCAAAATACTTATTAAACTTTAATCCAAATTTTACAGAAAAATGTTACACATCAGAGGAGTGGGAGCACGAATGGCCAGCACATCAGCAGCCACGAGCACGTCTGGGAAAATATTGGATTCGATAATAAGGGTCGACCATGCTGGCGAATTGGGAGCGGATAGAATATACGCCGGACAAATGGCCGTATTAGGTATAATCGTTCCGATCGCACAAGAGAGATGTAGATGTAAATTGAAATTCTGACGAAGAATTTTATATGCGAATGCCTATAGGCAAGACGACAGTCGGACCGACGATACAACACATGTGGGATCAAGAGAAACGACACCGCGCCAAGTTTGAGGAACTAATTCGCAAATATCGAGTTAGACCCACCGCTCTTACTCCGCTGTGGAATATCGCTGGCTTCGCCCTAGGTGCCGGTACTGCACTCATGGGCGAGAGAGCCGCCATGGCGTGCACCGTGGCGGTGGAGACCGTGATCGTCGAGCACTACAACGATCAGCTACGCACGTTGATGGAGAACAAGGACGGGAACGTAGACGAGGAGATACTCGAGACCATCAAAAAGTTTCGCGATGAGGAACAGGAGCATCACGACACGGGTATAGATCACGGTGCCGAACAAGCGCCTTTCTACCAAGCTCTGACGAATATGATCAAGTGTGGCTGTAAAACGGCCATATCCATTTCCAAGGTGATATGAACGCGTTTCCCGTTAAAGAATACCGTTGTATGTGTAGATATTGTAATTTATAATTAAGGTAAGGATGTAATAAATTATCGGCTCGAATTTTTTGTAGCAGATGTGACAAGTTAATTTCACGGTGTCCTAAGTTTATTGAAACATGTTTCAATCACTGATCTCTTTTTATGGAGATGAATAGTTGATTTTCCTTTGAAATAATTTCAGGGGAATCTATTAGACTTTTTCGAATTTTATATATATATAATATAAAATATTACAAAGAAGATGCATCATTTGAAACAAAATGGAGGAAACAGATGTGAAAAGATCTATTCTGCAGTGTCAATTTCAAGTAAATCTTTATGATGGATCTAATAAAATTAGTCACATGTACTAGGATGACAAAAGATTTACTTGTATAAGTGGCGTATTTATGTTAGTTTATACAATTTGTTATACCTCCTTCACAGTAGGGTCCTTGATATCCTGGCGGGCACGAGCACACACCCGGTGCCGTGCAGTTACCACCATTCATACACTTTGGATAACAAAGCGCTTTGTTACAATGAGGTGGTCCTAGATAACCGTCCGGACAAGGACCAGGATTAGGCTCTGTAAGAAATAATATCAAAATTTAAAAAAATATATATTGCTGTAGCGCACGCACGCACGCACGTACACATACATACGGGCGCGCGCGCGCGCGTATTCAACAATATAAATCTCTGTATAAATTCCATTAAAAACAAAGAATACTCCAGTAACTGATATCGAATACGATTTCGTTAATCCGATAAGATAAGATTGTTGCATGCAATCTCACACATGCAGATTTAATCGGATTCTTTTTCCAAAATCGTGCGATAAGCCACGAATTTGAGATCATAATATGATATATGTTTATTTAATAACTTGACATAAAAGCGAAAATTCAAAATCTATATCATCTTATTTTATTACTCATATTAAATGAATATTCTTAATGATAAGAAAAAGAGAAATCCTTTAAGGAGAATACTTTTATCATTTAGCATAATAGAATATATAATACATTCGCGAAAAAAGAAAATAATGACGCAAATTGAAAAAAAATAAAAAGTGATTTCAACCTATATTTTTTAATATTAGTTTTGAAGATATTGCATGAGAAGATTAAAATAAAGCATATATTTTATCTCATTTTTGTGACACGCGGAAACCGTGATTTTTTTTTAAATTAAATCTTATTTTAAACAGTCAACAACTTCGGTCAATGTGAAAGATAATTATTCGCGTTTGCACATTTGACATACTGTGCTCCGAATTATCGATGTATTATCACAAAAGCGATTATACATTGAGTATCGTATTCCGCCTATCTGAATTCGAGTAAATCACAATAATGGTCTGTCATGTGGATCATTATATTTGCTGTGTTTTATCTTTTTTTAAATTTTCACAAGATCCATATGATAAACTCGATCAGTCATTTTGATCGCATGCACATGCCGCAAATGAATCCCTTTCGGGAATTTTAATATTTTATCAACACTTTTATGTAAGATTTTTTAATATAATGTATATTTGACTTGATGATTGACAATTTAGAATGCACATGGATCGAGAGAGCTGAGGATAATGCCAAGAAGGCCGAGCAGACTCGCGCGTTCTTTCGCATTAAGTAGGCAATTAGGCACTTAATTCATGATTCGCGGGCGAACAATGACTCGAGGAAGCGGAGAGCCGGTTAACGCTTAACGAAGTGCCGAGCAAAACGAAAAATGGATGCTAATGTAGAAGACATACAAGCATAAAAATGACTTGGTTGAATCTGGAATATATTTGGATGAAAAACATAAACTAAAGCGAGTAATCTTTGATCGTCATACGACAGTTAATATTTCCCAAATTGCGAAAGTTGTGTGTCTCCTGAAAATAACATCAGCGCAATATTTGCGTTATTTAATTGGAATTGAATTAATAAAGTAATTACAGACAGAGAATTGTACGTTCTAAGATAGCGTTGATAGAATCTAGAACGATGGTTCATGCCTTCCGTTATACAAGAGGTAAGCTTCGCAAAAGCAGTTTACATATCTAATATGCGATGGGTCCAAAACCATTGCGCGGTATGGCGCATCCGAGTTTGTGAAATACACTTAGAAACCTAAGAAAGAATTTGTTAAAAGAATGTTTTAGAGAATTTTCTTTTCTCTTTTATAATACTAATCTTTTTTTACAGCTCAAGAATAAACACAAAAATAGCACACACACAACATTCAAGTATTTGAAAAAATGTAAACCAAAAATGAATCGATTCGCTACTCTTTTCGATATTTTACCTGCGTTGGCATTAGACCAGGACCTCGTCACAATGTTCGAGGTTCCAAGAGCGATCTCTTAACGACTTAACAACCGTAAATCTCTCCGACACGCTATGGAGCGAAGATTCGACGCGCCTACTTCGCACAATTATCGGACCCATCGCTGCGGTTAGCAGGTAGGCAGATAGATAGGTAAGGTAATCGTTTTCTTACAAGATATCAAAATGAGCGTTCACACGGCTACAGGTACATGCAATGGCTGTCGATTAAACAAAACGAAAGAGAGACAATCGAATATGTGCGAACCAAATTTTACGTGCACATAAAACGACACGTAGCTTCGTCGTTTTCGGACACGTCCGACCATCCCTCTTCAAGCAACTGATCAAAAGAGCATGCGGCAACAAATTAGGCTGATGAATTACTGCTGATACAGAACTGTATGTGCGAGCGAAGAGGTGGTGATCGTGGGCGCGACTGTCGCACTCACCGCGCACGCTGCATTCTTTTCTCAAACGGAAACGTAGCGGCGTCCCGTTCAGAGGTATCCCGTTGCGCGACTCGATCATTAGACCGATCCCGAATTGCGCTATACCCTTGCCGGCGCAAGGTAGCAAAATACTGAACTCTGCAACGGACAAAAAAAGTATTATTATTGACGTGTATATTTTGATTCACGCATGCACACACGCTCAATTATTTATATCCAATCTGTAAAAGAACAAAAGTATTGTGCATTCTGTTTACATAATACAGAGATATACATATGTCGCAGGTTTCATCGGTCAAGTTATTCCAGCGTGTTCACAACGAGAAGTAATAACGATGTGAAATAAGAATGGATCGACAATTTATCTAATCTGTTTATTATGAAGCATTTAGTATTCGAAATTGTCAAAAATAACTCTTACAAGTCAGAATTTCAGATTGAATTTGAAACGAAAGAGTTTTAAAACGAGAAGAGAATGCGAAATATATATATCTCCGTGCAAACAAGTAAAATATTTTCGTCTGTTAAATATTGGAAGATTTCACGCGCTGCGCATCGAGACATCTTCACCTTTGGCTATGTAAATAAGTATTGTCGGCGCGGTACTTCTTATGCTACGCCATAAGAGAGATTAAACTTAATGAAATATCTATAATTTTTTTTATAAAGCAAGTTCATATTGCCGTTATTTTAGAAAATTGTGAAACGTCAATAATGAACACATTCTTGAATACAAATATTATTAGCTAAAAATATCTCGCTGCGCGATAAGAGCTAAATGTGCATTAGGTAAAATCGAATATTCAACTCGAATTAAATACAACTGACAAACGCGAAAATGCTATTAAGCACGTTGACGCTAAAAGTATACGTTTTATATCTTTGATTGATGCCAAGTGAAAAATCATCGTACGAACATTTCTTAGACAAACGCTTGACCGCAATTTATAATTATTCAAACTTTAAATCATTCTATTTCAAGGATTATTGTCTCTGGAATGAAAAGTCGCAAATGATTCTTTCGGTTAACCTTCCATGAATCTTATGCAATATTTCGTTTGCAAATTTTAATGTTTGTCACGAAATTCTGACAATATATACATAGAATATATATATATATAT